TCATCTTCTCCACTTGGTCCCTCACCTGTTTTGCTGCAACAGATGAGGGCTTCAACCCATTCCTCCCAGTAGTGGATGTGTCAACAAGGATAGTATACATGTCAGGGGTGGGATGCCTCCACTTCTCAAAATTTTATGCAAAAACAAGAAATGTAAGGTCAGCAAAAGCCTTTGAACAAGTAACTACAAACCCCAACTGAAGAGCGCAGTTACCACTTCGAGCCATCAAGCAGAACTTCTCGAAGCATTGACAAGCAATGATCAACTTTTCAAACTCTCTTAAAGATGAGGGACGAAGGTAGATGTCCTCTATAACCTCTAACTCGACTCGGCTAAGCTCCAAGCAATTAATCGATCCTACAAAACAAGGAAGAAGGTCAAAATCAGAACCAAACTGACTTTTAAGTCAACAATCCACATAAGGCATGGGCTTCTGGGTAGGAAGTAGGAACTGTCATTTATGAGTGGTGTCACCTTCACTCACTTGCAACTTTTCCCTCACCTAGAACCACGTCTCCTTCCATTACTTGATGGAGGAGGAAACTCCTATGACGAATGGGAAGTGTGACCCCTATGGACACAAGGAATACCAACCCTTGGAGTCTTCTTTCCCTAAAACTCTAGGTTGAAAAATGGTTTAGAAATCGTAAAAGGGCATGTCCTCACCTAGGGAGATCTCATGCCATAAAAGTAGGTTCCAACTAATTGGGTCCAAACATTGGGGATGAACTGGGTGGGAGCCAGCTTGTACAACCTCAAAACGGCTCTACAAAAAGGGATGAAGAGGCAGATGAAGTCTCGCCTTTAAAAGAAACTAATTGACGATGATGCTACCCTATCTAGAAAAACAGGCTCGTTCATCAAGAAGGAGCTAGAAGTTCGATGTCATAAGGTATATAGTATTTCTCCCTAAAGTTTACCAGGTGGGATGTGTTTACGATGAAAGGAATTTTAGCAGCCCCCAACCCACCTTCTCATCTACCCTATCCTCCGTTGGAGATAAAAGGACTTTGACCAGCCCTAATGGTTTGGATAAGGTCGACTGTATTAGTTATGGTAATCCCTATCTCAGAGGCTACCTGGCTAATATCTAAGTCTCACCCAGAAGGTGAAGAAGCCATTAAATCAACAGTAAAAAAATTTAAAATACTTGTAAGATTAAACACAAATCACCGAAGAAAGGTGACTAAAAATCTCAAAAAAATTTGAGGAAAGAGTGAATAAATATGATGAGCAAGAAAGAGTTTGGATTTCCTGATTCCAAAGGGCAAAAGTAATTTTTACCCCAAGTTATTGCCTTTATAGGAGGGGTACTAAATCCCAACATTTGGATGTTGATTCGGATCATCCAATCGTTCATTTGAAATTTAATCTGAGCTGCCCACCACATTTGTTGCTTCGCGTTCTATGGTTTAGATCAGAGCTTCTGAATCACGGGCTCCAACGCGTCTGAACCACGTAAAGCACTCCTACGACAGCAGCCGTTGCTCACTAAATGAGGTGAAGATTGAGTGTGTGGGAAATTGAACCGTTTCAGCTGTCTTCTATGGGAAATGCAAAAGACGACAATTTATTTGGGCACAATAATTAAGGACGCTTTGTATTCCTGAACGTTTCAACTGGCATGTCTCATTAGAAATATTGCTCTACAGCTTCGGTCAATCGATGAAGCAAATTGCTTTGGTCTTTACGTGAAGCGCTTCGGTAGGGCTTCAAAAATATATTAGCAAGCACACAACCTCGATCAAATGGACCTCAGCTCTGATTTAACTTCAACAAACAGAAGCTCCCAAACTCAACTTCGAAAAATGACCTCAATAAGCCCTTCGAACATTTCATTATAATTATATAAACTTCGGTGCTGGTGAGGTCGGGAACGTAGTCTTCCGTCTCCGATTTTGCCAACCGATAAGATCTCTGAGATTGACCAGCCAGCTAGGTTCAAATTCTAATTCTCATATAAATATTCATAAATACCCCCAACAAAATTTTTCGTTTAAAAAATAACATAAGTCCATTCACTACATAAATGATTATGCATCGACTTGGGGGTCTATTGTTTTGCCTCCTATTCGAAGTTCCCAGTGGAAAGCCATGTGAAGGCACTGCGTGTAAACATCTAGCAGTCAACAATGTCAAAATAAAGAAAAAGAAAAAGCAAAAGAAAAAGCTGATCTCTTTCACCGAAACACTATCTATATTTGAAATTCTTTGTTGGAGCACTATTTCTTCTGGCTGAACCTTTGCCCATCCGAAGCCCCTTTTTTAAGCCGAAGCGGTTGTTGCCTTTACAGCGGATATGTAGAGTATATGTAGATCTGATTGATGTAAAATTTGCATTAGTGAATGTTATAAGTATTGGTATAGGGTGTATGACAGTTGACCCCTTGTCAATATAATTAATGTATGACAGAGAACGATGTGGTGCTCCAGTTAATGGGATAAGTCAACGTGGTTCTAATCCAACGTCGATCACGTCGGCCTTAACTCTATAAATAGTAGCTCTTGTAACATTTTGAAAGATTGTAAAATATATGCAAACTATATACACTTGGAATCACACTCAGTCTTCTCTCCATATTCATTAGTACAAGTTTAGATCAGCCCACAGGGCACATCTCCAAGTGGTAAAAGAGGAGGGTGGAGAAATCCAGCTTTGTTTGAGGCTGCTGCGTCAAGGGTTCGAATCCTGAAATATGGATTTAGCTCTTGGGTAAGTGCAAGTGTACAAGTAGCCTTCCACCCTATACCCTTGGAGGTATAACCTGCGATTTACCTCCCTCACGATGCTCCAGGGCAGGGGTGGTGGGGAACCCTTAATGTTAGGGTTTAACCTTTTTTAGTACAAGTTTAGATCATCTCTAATTGGTTGAAGTTATCTGTGATTGCTTTGCTTGTACACAATCTTCCTTGATCATATTGTCATTTGTTTGCAATATTTCTTGATTACATAGTGGTGTCTGAATGTTTTCGTCTCGCGTCATAGAGTATCTCCCACGTCCATAATCGTCATGCATCTTCGACTGTATCTCCAATCAAAACGTGCCAAAATATGTTTGCGTGAATGCGAGTAGACTCGACATCTGTTATCCACGTGACCATTGTGAAAAATGTGGTCAACAAAACTCAGGTTGGAACTTAATTGTTTTGACACTTAAAATTTGACTTATCAAAATCAATATGGTTCGAACAAATTTTCACTAGATTCAAAACTAGCAGTTGTTCACACGATGGAAAAAGTCAATCATAGACAAATCCTTACAAGCATCCTAAACATGTTGTAACCCATCCAATCAAAACGCAGAAGATATGTCATAGGGTCAGAAAAGTAATTTCGGAAATCCAATTCCTTTGACTTGAGAAGAACCCACTTCAGTATAAAACGAAGCCCCGATCCCGCTATGCCCCTAACCCTGTACCCGGATCCAAATTCTCGATTCCCCCCGTTGCACAAACAAAACGAAACAGGCACAGAACTCTGCACTGTATTCTATTTCAATCTCTCCCAATTCACACAAAATTATTATAGATCTATAAACAAAATCTGATTAATTAGGGTTGTTTTACTAAATTTCGATTTCAGTGTTCTTTATATATGTGTATGATTTAGGGAATTCTAAAATGCTGACGAAGTTTGAGACGAAGAGTAATAGAGTTAAGGGATTGAGTTTCCACAGTAAGAGGCCATGGATTCTGGTGAGTCTTCACAGCGGCGTGATCCAGCTCTGGGATTATCGCATGGGCACTCTCATTGATCGCTTTGACGAGCATGATGGTCCTGTTCGTGGCGTCCATTTTCACAAATCCCAACCACTATTCGTCTCTGGAGGTGCAGTGTTTCACCCTGTGATCTCCGTAATTTTATGCTTTTTTTATAAATATTTTACCGTGTTTTAGTCTCTGGATCTGTAGGTTGATAATGGCATTGGATTTTCTCGAATTGTTGGAACTAGTTGAATTTGGGATATGGGAGGGGCGATACAAGTTATGCAACATTGTTTAGTAGTTGGTGATTGCAATTCGCGTTCTTATAATCTGAATCATTTTATGTTGTCAACTGCTAATAGTATACGAGATAATTATCTTGTGCACTTTCCCAACTGAAACATCTGAGGGAATCAATGTTGGACTTATTGGAACCTTAGCAATTTATTTGAACATTGGTCATTGGGTTAATACAAGTATGTATGCTTCATTGTTTGGTAGTAGGTGATCGAAGTTGCTTTTTTTTTTTTTTTAATAATCTTGTTCAATGAATAATGTGCATCACTGGGATTTGGTTTAATATATCACTTGTTTGTTATTCTACACTTGCACCATGATCCTTGAATTTGCGGATTGGGTCATTGCATTAGAAAACCTTAAGTTTAAATAGGTGATTTTGGGGGCATGGCTTAATTTATGCTTGTTTTATTGCTTAGGAAAAGTTTATACTGCAAATTGTTCAAACTTGATGTTGAAAAATGGGTTTTACATTTATTGGGTGCCTAATTGTTGTGTTATTGAATGTGGTGAGTATGGCGTGACATATGTTTTGAAGAGCGGGTAATAGTTTTTGTCGTTTGTTTGCTAGTAGAATTTTATTTATCTGTGACGCGATTTAAATATCAGGCAATTGATTTTTAAGTCATGCTGGACTTGATAAATTTCAAGACTTATTTTCATATTGTTGTAATAAACATTAGTTAGTGGATTTTAATGCTCGTACTGTCTTAATAAACAATAGGCAAAGTTCGACTAATTTTACAGTTTTCTCAATAATTTATTGGGAGTTGAATTGATTCTTAAGTAACGTATTCTCCCTTCTCATGAAGATTCCAAAGAATGAAAAATAAATCTATTAATTTTTGTTTTCTTCTAAGCAAAGAATGTTTGCAGAATTAACTTGGGTAGATATGTCTTTTCTTGTTAATACCAATGTTTGTCTTTGCAGGAGATGATTATAAGATCAAGGTTTGGAATTACAAGCTGCACAGGTGTTTGTTTACGCTTCTTGGAGCTTCAACTTAGCACTTGAAAGCGGGAACATCGAGAAAGCTCTTGAATCGGCTAAAAAGATTGATGAGAAAGATCACTGGTACCGGCTAGGGGTGGAGGCCCTTCGTCAGGGAAATGCTGGGATTGTTGAATATGCTTACCAGAGAACGAAGAACTTTGAGAGGCTGTCCTTCCATTATCTAATTACTGGTAATGTGGACAAATTATCCAAAATGATGAAAATTGCCGAGGTCAAGAATGATGTTATGGGTCAGTTCCACGATGCGCTGTACCTTGGTGATGTCCGAGAGCGTGTCAAGATTCTGGAGAATGCAGGTCATCTACCTCTTGCATATATCACTGCTTCAGTCCATGGGCTCCGCGATATTGCTAATCGGTTAGCTGTGGAACTGGGGGATAATGTTCCTTCTTTGCCTGATGGGAAGAGGGCTTCTCTGTTAATGCCCCCAAGTCCTGTTTTGTGTGCTGGAGATTGGCCTTTATTAATGGTCAGTAAAGGAATGTTTGAGGGTGGTCTTGATAATACAGGCAGAAGTGCAGAAGAGGATTATGAAGAGGCTGCAGATGCCGATTGGGGCGAGGCTTTGGATATTGGTGAAGTGGAAAACATGCAAAATGGAGATATTAGTACGGTTCTGGAGGAAGAGGACGTGCACATAGAAACTGAGGAGGGTGGATGGGATCTTGAGGATCTGGATCTGCCTCCGGATACTGACACCCCAAAGACGGCTCCAAATGCACGTTCTTCTGTATTTATCGCTCCTAACCCTGGGATGCCTGTAAGCCAGATTTGGGTCCAAAAATCGTCTCTTGCTGCTGAACACGCAGCGGCTGGAAACTATGACACGGCAATGCGTTTATTGAACCGTCAATTAGGGATAAAGAACTTCTCTCCTTTGAGACCACTGTTTATGGATCTTCACATGGGCAGTCACACCTATTTACGTGCCTTGTCCCTGGCCCCAGTGATATCTTTAGCAGTTGAGAGGGGTTGGAGCGAGTCAGCGAGTCCAAATGTGCGGGGTCCACCTGCACTTGTGTCCAATTTCTCTCAGTTGGATGAGAAGCTTCAGGCTGGTTACAAGGCAACAACTGCTGGAAAATTTTCTGAAGCCCTTCACCATTTTGTGGCTATTCTTCAAACAATTCCATTTATTGTGGTCGAGACACGAAGAGAGGTGGATGAAGTTAAAGAGTTGATTATCATTGTAAGAGAGTATGTTTTGGGTTTGCAAATGGAACTTAAGAGGAAGGAATTGACCGATGATCCAGTTCGTCAGCAGGAATTGGCAGCTTATTTTACCCACTGCAGGCTCCAAAGTCCTCACCGAAGACTTGCATTGTTGAATGCCATGACTGTTTGCTATAAAGCACAAAACCTGAGCACTGCAGCCCATTTTGCCAGGGAACTTCTGGAGACCAATCCAACTGCCGAAAACCAAGCCAAGAAAGCCCGCCAAGTTCTGCAGGCAGCCGAGAGGAATATGAGAGATGTTACGCCAGTGAATTATGACTTCAGAAATCCTTTTGTGGTGTGTGGGTCTACGCACACCCCCATATATCGGGGGCAGAAAGATGTGACATGCCCTTACTGCAGCACACATTTTGTTCCATCGCAAAAAGAGCAGCTTTGTACAGTTTGTGAGCTTGCAGAGGTAGGAGCTGATGCATCTGGTTTAGTCTGTTCACCATCGCAGATCGGTTGATCGGCCTTCTTTCCAGGGCTTGTTCTTGGCTTTTCATTAGCAGCACCCATTAAGCCAGTTTGTGGCTTTCATCTCACAAACGAAGAGTTAGGATAATCAAACGACAATAGAGGTTTCATTCAGATTATATCTATGTTCTATATGGGTTTTGATTTTACAGTCAGTTTTCTCAAACGACCTTTTTTTTTTTTTTTTTCTTTTCTTTTTTAATGATTACATTTTCTTTGTAATAACGTATGTAAGATTATTTACTTTCCCCATTCTTATGACGGATGAGAATTTAGTGTACCTGATGCATCGGGTAAAATTTATTGCCTTTTTTTAGCGAGTCTCGATTTTAATTTTTGCAGATGTAATAGACAGTTTATTGCTGCTATTTTGTGGGCTATTTGATTTCCCCTTTATGTTAGTATATTAGAAATGTGTATTGGCATTTGGTATACAGAAGTCGATATTACTGAATAATATTCTTTTTTTTTCCTTCTAATAATTTCTTCAATTGCGTTTAGTGTCATTTAATTCCTGCCAAACAGCCTAGAATGTAATTTGGATGTGTCAGTTTGTAGTTGACTATTTTTTATTATTATATTACTTGTTTGGTATACAATATAATAAACAGTATTGCACTATGTTCTTAGTGATTGTTATATGCTATATTTAGTTTTTCTTCGTTATTGGGGTTAAAAGTTTCGATGCCACTAACTTTTATAGAAGCTGCCATAGCTGCTTTATTATCTGCATCTCTTCTCAAGCGTTCTTTGTGCCAATCTATTTGGCAAGTGCACTTCGTCTATTGAATGTCTGGTATTGTATGGATTTTTTTATTTTTTAAATGTCGGATTATTAGGAGTTAAATTTTTTTTAAAATGGTCAATAACGTTCGTGCAAAATTTCAATTTATTCCTTGAAAGTATTTTTCTTACTCATTTTAATCACTAAGTTAATTATCATTATAAAATTGATTAAATTTTATTGACCTTCACAAATAGGGTGAGTTCGATGAACAGATTGCAGCTATGGTGAAAGTTCAGTGTTTTTGATTTTTCTATACACGATGGACAAATTGATATTTCACATTTCAATGAATTTTTGTAGGTATATTAATAGAATCCAAACGAATGATATGATTGCTCCAATTAAAGTTCAATGGTTCAATTGTAACTAGGGGGAAAGTTCAGTGTTCTATTGTGTAATTTAAAAAAATGCTACTTCAAGTGATTTTAACTTTGGACTATGCAGACTACAAGAATGATTAGTAAACTAAAAATTAACATGATATATTGCAATTATAAAACGTGTCACAACTGTAATTTGCCAAATCCAGTTCCATTTGACTTTAGAACCCACCAAGTATAAAACGAAGCCCCGAACCCGCTATTCCCGTGTACCAGGATCCAAATTCTCGACCCACTGACACGCCCAAAAAGTAAAAAAAGGAAAGAAAAATGCTGAAAACACTGCACTATATATCTTCCATTTCAATTCCTTTCCCGATCCAAACTCACAGTTCGATCAGAAATGCACAATTTTTTATCAGATCTAAGCTGAATCGGATCCAATTTAGGTTTAAAATTGTTTGATTAGATTCGGACCTCAGTGTTTATTTCCGTGTGTGTGATTTGGGAATTGTAAAATGTTGACGAAGTTTGAGACAAAGAGTAATCGAGTTAAAGGATTGAGTTTCCACAGTAAGAGGCCATGGATTTTGGCGAGTCTTCATAGCGGCGTGATCCAGCTCTGGGATTACCGAATGGGCACTCTCATTGATCGCTTTGACGAGCATGATGGTCCGGTTCGAGGCGTCCATTTTCACAAGTCTCAGCCGCTCTTTGTCTCCGGAGGTTCAAAATTTTTCCCGTCATCTCTTTAATTTTGTGTTTTTTAGATAAATTTCTTTGTTTTAGCCTCTGCATCTGCAGGAATTGAATTTTCTCGAGTTACTAGTGAAACCAGTGTTTGCAATTTGTTGTCTTGTGATCCGGTTCATTTCATAATATGCATCACTGGGATTTAGTTTTAGCTATCACTTGTTTGTTGTTCCATAATGGACTTATGATCCTTTGATTTGCCGATTGATTCATTGCATTAGTGAAATTGGGTTTAAATATGTGATTTTGGTGGCATAGCTTAATTTATGCTTAGTTCATTGCTTAGGTGATTTGCGTTAAGATTCGATTTTGAAAATTCTGGTTTTATCCTTTCTTAGGGGTTTCATTGTTGAATTGGTAAATCTGCTGATGGATGACTTATGGCGTGACATTGATTTGTAGTGCGGGTAATACTTTCTGTTGTCCATTAGCTATTTTTTAGTCATGCTGGACCAGAGAAATTTCAAAACTTATGATCATAATGTTGTAATAACCATTAGGCAGTGGATTCTATGCTCCCATTGTCTTTATAAACTTTAGTAAAAGTTTGGTTTTCATTTCTTTGCTTATTAATAATTTCATGTGGAACGAATTGATTGTTGAGGAGCATACTCTCCCTTCATGTGAACATTCCAATGCTTGACAAATCAGTTATCGTTTTTTTATTTGAAAATAATCCTTTTTTTCCAAGTAAAGAATGTTTGCATAATTAAGTGGGTAGATACATTTTTCTGGTTTATAGCAATGCTTGTCTTTGCAGGAGATTTGTTTCAGCGTCTTTGGATCAAACTGTTCGAGTTTGGGATATTGGTGCATTGAGGAAGAAAACTGTTTCTCCGGCTGATGACATCCTGCGATTGAGTCAGATGAATTCTGATTTCTTTGGTGGAGTAGATGCTGTTGTGAAATATGTCTTGGAAGGCCATGATCGTGGGGTTAATTGGGCTTCATTCCACCCCACTCTCCCTTTGATTGTCTCCGGAGCAGATGATCGCCAAGTGAAAATTTGGCGCATGAATGGTATGCACAGCTTAATCTTTGATTTGTTATATTGCCTCTAATAACTTTTTGCTGTAGAGTATGAATTTCTCATAGAAGATACACATTGCCTTCTAGAAAGAGAAGGCCATGTATGTGCTGTTATTTCTTAGATTTAAAAATGAGAAAACATTTATTCATGACACGAAGATGGATTTCTGTTCATAGTGAATTTTTATTTCCAGTTTTTAAATAACACCGATTTCCCTTGTCACTTATTTTGGTTAATGGTTTTGAAGTTTCGTATGTATACCACCTGCCATATTATTTATATCAAATCGGTTGAGTATGTGCCCACTAGAACTTCTTATGGTATCAATTTTTTTGGTTAAAATAAATGCACCCTTAATTTATTCCACTACCGTTCATTAGAGCCTAAGCAATTTTGTACAATGACATTATCTAATGTTAACATTCAACTGAACTTCTTGTAATGGAAGAGCGGTTAATGTACCAACTGGTTAACTAGAAAGATGTCTACAACCAGGGAGTTCTCTATATTTATTTTTTAGTTTCAGAGTACAAAATAAGTTTATGCTTCTTTCTTGCTTTCATTTTTTAACCTTAGACCATTCATTTTATTTGAAGTATATCTGAATAATCTCCAACTTATTCAAGATGCTATAATAGATCTACTTATCTTAAAAGCTGGCTGTAGCTGGGAATGTGAACTTCCATGTGAAAAATACACCTTAAAAATAAATCATATGTGGATTTTTTTGACCAGCACTGTTTGTAACATCTTAATACACAAAACTTCTACTTCTTTTGGCATTGGAATTTTGGTGAACTAATAAGTATTTTCTCAGATACAAAGGCATGGGAGGTGGACACATTGAGAGGGCACATGAACAATGTATCATGTGTACTGTTCCACGCAAGACAGGACATCATTGTTTCAAATTCTGAAGATAAGAGCATTCGGGTTTGGGATGCTACTAAAAGAACTGGCCTGCAAACTTTCCGCAGAGAACATGACAGATTCTGGATCCTTTCTGCTCATCCTGAGATGAGTCTTCTGGCTGCTGGTCATGATAGTGGTATGATTGTCTTCAAGTTAGAGAGAGAGCGTCCTGCTTTTTCTGTGAGCGCTGATTCTCTATTTTATGTGAAAGATCGATTTTTGCGTGTTTACGAGTATTCAACTCAGAAAGACACACAATTGATACCGATTCGTCGACCTGGTTCTAACGGTTTGAATCAAGGACCACGAACTCTTTCTTATAGTCCTACTGAGAATGCCGTTTTAGTCTGCTCGGAAATGGACGGAGGATCATATGAGCTATACTTTATACCAAAAGACAGCTATGGTAGAGGTGATACTGCCCAGGAGGCTAAAAGAGGTATTGGGGGATCAGCCGTGTTCGTGGCTCGAAATAGATTTGCGGTGCTTGAGAAAAGCAGCAACCAAGTGTTAGTCAAGAACTTGAAAAATGAAATTGTCAAGAAGAGTATTTTGCCGATTGCCACGGATGCAATATTCTATGCTGGGACTGGAAATTTGCTGTGCAGGTCAGAGGACCGGGTTGTTATCTTTGATCTCCAACAACGGGTCATTCTTGGGGATCTGCTGGCTGCTTTTGTTAGGTACATTGTTTGGTCTCAG